AAAGTACTCATAGTGCAGTAAAATGGTCCCTGTCAGTGCTCATTTTAACTACTTTATATACTGTTGGGTACAGCAATGCATCATATTCTGTACGATTATTGTATGTTTGTAGTGTCACTGTCCTGTGGAGAACCAAGTATCTCTAAAAAGTCAACTTTTCCAGAGCTAAAAAAAGGTGGTTTTATAATTTCTCATTTCTTAATGCTCATAAAGGAACACTTTATCCTTAATCCATTTAATGATTCAAAATGACCAAATTTGGAGATACATGGTTTTCACTGGACAATTTGTGAAGGAGCTGTCAGCTGTAGTCCATAAAAGTATAAAGTTGCATAAAATAGAAATACTCATATATTAAATAAGAACTTTGAATGTGTACTTAAGTTCAGTACTTGAGTAAATTTACTTAGTTAAATTCCACCACTGTTTTTCATCAACTGTTGTAACCTCTGTAGTTTGCTTTGTCATCTACAATTACCTTTTGCAATATAAAAATAGAGCAATTTGTTTGTTATATTAGAGTCATTACCCCACGCATTTCTCATCACGCTTGGTGCCTCCAAAGAGAAAAATGCAGAGAGGCAAGATTCTTTAGTCTGTGTCAGACCGGTTATAGGACGGACTTGTGGCTTCCTGAGTTTCTGGTTGCTTTGTTTGATTCCTGCGTGTACACTGTTGACTCCAACTGTCTCTTTTAAGCGGAAGCCAGTTTCCGATAAACCCATTTACCCTTCCCTTTTTTTCCCTCGTCATCTCTGTCAATCATGTTGATGTTTTCGCCATCTATTTTCTATCAAACATGCAATCCAGACATGAGTGACGTCTATGACCCAGTGAATATTCTTCGCTGTCGCTCTTAGGCTCACATTCTGTGGTGTGAACAGGAACAAAATGATCTAAGTGTGAGCACTGAAAGCAGAAAATGTTCATGTAAACACATACATACTTCAGACAGACACTTCATATCCATTATTATGGAAATACATACAGCACTTCTGAAACACTACACTTATAATATACCCATTTCAGAGTGAATATTATTTTACCTTGACATCTACTTTACTTTGCTTGTATAAATGTTAACATCATCTGTGAGTAAGATGTTAACATTGATTCACCAGCATCATCAATCTGCTGTAATTGTTTAGGGCTTCAGATATAAATAGAACTCTGTGTCATAAATGCTCTTTGGTTTCTGTCTGTATATCATGCTGCAGATCAGCATCGTCCTCCTCCAAGTCCAAGTTTGTTTCTACAGCATGACAGACACGTTAATGTGGAGCAGCTGGTGTTTGTTAGCCCAAGTTTGTACTTTAGGAAACTTTAAACTTGCCAAATCGACTTCAGGTAAATGCTGTGCCTGTCTTGGCAAACAGCTGTTGAGATGACGGGGAACATGAGCTACAGCAGTGACAGTATCTCCAGCAGCACAGGATGTTTGTCACAACCGATGCACACATGCTTCTGCAGTGCACTTCTCATGCTTTGTAACTCTCTATCAGGTGATCCACAGCACACTGTGAAAAATCTTCCCTAAAAGGATTCAGAATTTGTTTCCCACAAAGGGGAACAGATGGTTTTCTGTCAAAAGCTTTGTTTAAAAGTGTGATGGTCAGTGTGCTTGAAAAACCTGAAGCTGCACCCTGTCACACTAGATAAACAGGAAGAAGAAAAGTTAACAAAAGGTGAAGTGGTGGTGATGGGTCGACGTGGTTACCTTTTTTTGGCTTTGTTCGTTTGCAGTCAGCTTCTTCCCCTTCTCTCTCTAGTTTCTCCTCCCGCTCTTCCCAGCGCCGCACCTGCTCCTGGCGCATTTTCAGGAACAGAGTCTTTTTCTGGTCCTCATTAAGTGCATTCAGCACATCGGGGTCAATGTACATGTCCTTTAAAATCTGCTGCAGCATGTTGGCGGCTGAATGGTGCGGCTAACTTGGTACTGCGTGGCCAAGCAGGTGTAGGAAGGAGGCGCTGTCCTTTGGCCAGCAGCTTCTTGAGATGGACAGTGTTGGTTTATAGTCTCATGTCGTTGAAGAAGACTTCCACTGCTTCTTTATCCTAAATCCACTCTTATTTACTCAGAAACTCTTCCTCATGAATCAAGGTGCATGTTCAACCTCACACACACTTTTGTACATAATGTACAACCACACACACGCATTCACGCACACAAAATCCTGTTTCCTCCCTGTGGTATGCTGTTGAGTTTCCCCACCCTACAAAGATGTCAGTTTGCTTTGTCTTTGGAGGTCATCATTGGGACATTCTACAAAAAAAACGACAGAGAACACTTGAATCAAACATTTGGAGGATTATATTGTGCCCTACAGGGGTCTACATTTTTCTCAAAGTTGCAAAGTCCTATATATTTCTTGACTCCACCTTTGTCACATTCAAAAACTTTTTTCTTTCAGTCATTCCTTTGGAAAGTCTGTTTCAGTCGGTTATCTTGTCCCTCCCTTCATGACTACAGAAGGGCTCAAACCCTGTTTCTAAACTGACAGAAAGACTGCAGCCCAAAATGGGAGGAGATTCCAAAGGAATGGGACTGTTTCTGTCATCAGTGGCCCTCCTCCCTCCTCCCCCACCTCACCACTCGTCCCTTCCCAAACCCATGTTCCTTTCTCCCCCAAACTCCCACGAGATAGCGGCTCCATTTTAACATGGTCAGTTTCTGCTTGCCTGAGAAAAAAATAAACCCAAAACACACCAGGGTCATAGCCCAGGACAGCATGAGCCGGTTACTCTAACAAGGGGATTGAAATGGACTCCTCCAATCACAGTGGGTAGTTAAACAATGGCTACCACATAAGCAGCACTTGGAGGGAAAGAAAGCTTGTCTCAGGCTGAGAACTATCACACTGGTGGAATACAGATTGGTGTCTACTAAACACATTGTAGGTTGCAGAGAAGGAAGCCCAGGAAAGGGGGAGAAAGTGAACAGAGAAAGGAGGTGATACAAAGCCAAAGGGAATTGCAAGAGAAGGGTAGAATTTGCTCAAGTACTCACAGTGGGATGTAGACAGCCGCTCCACAGCAGTGTATGCTAACTAAGCTGAGAGAGTCAGAGCGCCTGTGGGTCCTCCTCGTCTTTGTGTGTGTATGACTGGGCTGATGACATCACAGCATTCCATAATCTCTCTCCCTCCCTCTCTCTCT